GGGACTGGCTACGCCCTTTCATCTTCAAAGCATTGGCATGAAGGGAGATGGCCGTAATCGTTGCATTAGGATGGCTTTGTTGAATACGATCCTCAAAAGGTGTGTCTTTGGCTCCGTATTTGCGTCACAAAGATACTCGTTGAGGCCTAGTCTGAGGTGGCGTTTGGTCGTTTGAATGCTAGGAACTGCGTTTTTTCACGCTGTACCTGGAACCTAGCTGATGGCTTGAGATCCCGCTGAAAGTTAATCATTGGCGAGATAATGTGTCCTTATATTCCTGAATTGTCTGGTTCAATATATTGGGTGAAAATGCTTTTGCCGCGCAACCCGATTTCTCACCTCGCAGAGCACTAATTAAAATTGACAAACCAAGGTTCCTGGGTCCAGCTTTCACGCAATGCACTACTGATGGCTCGGATGAGAGCGCCCTACGTAATTATTTCCGTCACTGACATCTGCCAGATCTGTCAAAAGAGAGTGGACAAGCTGTCAAACTATGGTTACCATCTTGTCATTTACCGCTGTCCAAATTGCGTGCGCCGAGTAGCCGGAAATTCTTTTGAAAGTGTATCGAAATAAGAGCAGTAAATGTTATTTTTGCGTCATTCCAATCATCATTCACTTCAGTTCGTGCCAGAGCCATGGCGCGGAGGCAGATCTCTCGTCTGGTTTCTGCCTGAAGGTCCCACTGCCGCTGTTCACGTCCACGTTGACGGAAGGCGACGTGCCGAGCCACCAGACCGGCGGCGCTCTTCTCTCGAGTGACGGAAGCCAGGCTCGACAGAAATCCGCATGCCGGCGATTGTCCGGCCTGCGCCGAGTCTGCCGCCACGGCAGCGGAAGCGCGGCACACTTGGCGCGCCACGTGCATTCTGGGCGCCGCGCGGCTCGCCGCGTCAGGGCGTTGCCACCGCGCGGCACGCTCGGCGCAGCGAGACAAAAGGCGCCAGCTATGCGCGCGGCGGCGCCTCGCGCGCAATTCCCGCGCCGCGTCGAATTGGCGCGCCCGATGCCTTGTGTGCCGCAGCAGTGGAGCCGGAGAGCGGCCGGCCGGCGCGCCGCTTTCGCAAGCCGTTGAGTCACTAGCGCCGCACGTCCGCACCGGTCGCATGTGTGCTGAAAGGCCAGGTTTGCGGCAGGACGGATATGATGCATTTGCCAACGCCTACGTCAACTTTTTGATTGATGTTATTTGACTTTCAGATCAAGAAAAATATCTATACACGCAACGTTGCTGAGTCCATACAAAAGATGCTCAGATGTTCGTTATGTTGTGTGGCATGTATCGTAATGTTCCAAAAGTGTCTCCTCGCACACTCAACTTTAAGCGTCTTCCCGTGTCCGCCATGGTATCGTGCGGCGCGCCCCTCTGACCACCCCTCTGGAGCCGCCATTTTCAACATTGTCGCTTTGAAATTTTTAAACTGCGGGTGAAAGGCAGGTGCCTATGAAAAATCACCAAGTTCATGCTTTCTCTCGAACCGCTCAGAAATTCTAGCTAGGCAAGCTTAAGCGGCGCTGCCACTCCCAGTTTAGGAGTAAGGCTAGATAAATGTTTTTTGAAGAAAAAAAATATTGACTTAGCTTTTAATCGCATGCATTTATGCAATTCCATGATTTGGATAAACATTTTGCTGCTGCCTTAAGTACACTTGCGATACGACAGTCATTTTATCATGATGAGTTACTGCAACACTCGAGCTAACGACAGGCAGTGCATTCAAGCGCAACGCCTGAGTAGCACCGTTACGTGACCATATAAACTATCAGCGGCGCCACTTTCTGATCGCCCTGGTTCCGGACCTGCTTGTAGCAATTGCCGTGGGAGGAGGACGTCCGTGTGTTAGCTGTCGAGCGTGACTGTTTTCCTACCGCGACCCACGGGCTGTGGGTGTTTTATTCGACTCTGCTTCAGAGGCGCCCGGCTGGCCGACTCTGACCCAGTCTCGGCGGTGCCGGCCTCTCCGCGACTCAGAGGAACCGAGAGTCATGGTGACGCGCGCCGAAGGTCCGGGCCCGCGGCGACCCCGTGTCACGGGGACGCGGGTCGCGCCGCCGCGCCTGAACCGGCCGCCTGTAGTGCGGCCCGCTCACCGACCCAGAGAACCCACGTGGGATCTAAAGGCATGCCCCTGTCATGCGTCCATTTATCGGCTAGCCAAGTCCAGGCACGGCGTCTTGTTTTGAGATTTAAGGTGGCAAGAGTTAATCCCACGGCTAAATCACAGATGCCACGGTTTGCAGAGCTATAATATTAACAGATATGCCTCCTGACACGCATCGTAGAATTCTGTGAACATACGAGGGTATTCCAAAAGTGATCACACTAGCTTACGAATTAAACAGTTATTACTTCCCTCCAGTCATATTGTCGTTTGATATTTCCCTTCGTTAGTTAGTTAGCATTGACACTTCTTTTTAATCATCCTGTTCTTGTAAGTCTTCATAAGTTATCAGCGTGGTATTTCTTTTATGCGTAGTTTTGGCACACTTTATGATCACCGCGCTGCTGCAACGTATGTTCAAAACTGTCATGCTGTTAAGAATGTAAATTTGCCATCAAATTATCATTGGTTTGTGTTAATGGGGTCGCTAGACCATAGATCAAAACTGTTGTTTTTAGATAAGTGGGAAGTCAACTGATCGTAACCTGGACTGGGGAGGTTCTTTCCAAGCAGAGTGAGACGCTCAATGTGTGGGAGAAGAAGCCGATGTTGCAAGTCTAGTAGCCGATCATTTAGCTTAATGGCGTTCGACGTGTGCAGAATGATCAACTAATTTCCACGGGCATCGCCGCTACCATCTCTCCGCACGTACATTATGGTATCGTTCTTCAACTAGTCTTTATAGGCCCGCCATGCTCTTCCACTACCACGCTCGAGGCAAGCAAGGTCAAGCAAACACCAGCCTCATTCCCTTTTCCTGCCACGCCGGTTTGCCGTCCTCAATTACCGGTGGTGTGGCGCTTCTCGTAAGGAATCGTGAGTCCACAAGGGAAAACCGCGGCGGCTTTCTCCGCTGTGCGCTGCGCCGCCACCTGCGCGCCGACGCCTCGCCGGCGGTGAGACCGGCCGGGGCCTCGCCTCGTCGTCGTTCAGCAGGACCAAGTGGGGCGCGGCGGGCCGCACGCCTTTCAGCAAGGCGGCAGGCTCTGGTGCCGATGCAGGACGGAGCCAATTGGAGGCCACCGCGCACGACCGGCGCAGGAGCGCGAGCCTCACGCGGAGCGCCTCGCCCCTCTCCCGACCGACGGCGGCCAGAGACGAAAGCGGGCCGGTGCGCCCCACCAATCGGGTCAAGTTTGCTGATCGGATGGTTTCCGAATGACGTAAACAGCGGAGCTGTGGGCAGTGCTTGCCAACAACGGCGGCCGGCGGTGGCCTCGGCCCACTCAGATCTGACCAGAATGCGGAAAGCGGCTGAGTCAGCAGGAATGCTGGCGGTGTTACTGAACTGGGCGTCGGCAGAGAAGCACGATCGACCCGGCGTTGGTGCTAAGCATGGCGGACGTGCTACTGTCTGTCTGGACGGAGCCTCACGATGACTGCGATTGCACACAAGTGCTGCGTGCAAAACCCGGTGAATGGTCAGAAAAGTGTCCACTGCTGCCGCACACTCGACAGCCGGAGTTAACTACAGCCTTTTGACACGTTTTTCAAGCTGATAAGCTCAGAATGTGTGCGCGTGAAACAAGCGCGTGAGGTGATTGTGCCACAACAGATTGTCTGGCGTGATTTTTGGGCAACAGCACGTGCTATTTGGTAGCTGAGTGAATTACTGCAGCCGGTTGTTTGAAATTGCAGAAAATGTTTGCAGGTATGGTGTGATTGGACCTGCAATTTACAGCAACCGTTTTAACGATTCGGGTCATAGTGTTTTCAAATGAGCTGTTGGATGTAATTCAAGCGGTGGCCGACGTCCGTCACTTATCACGATTATCACCGAATGAGGCAAGTGCTAAAAGAACCATTAACATCTGCGTAGTCAGACGTTATGTAATCTTTCAAGAAGAGCATCGACGGATTAAAGGTAATAACCAAGTGGCGGTAAAAGTAATGCCTCAATCAGCTTACCATGCCTGCAGATATAACGTTCCTTATCATGTTAGTTCCAAGGAGAAAATTCGGCTGTGGCGCGTGTATGGCTGAAAGCCAAACACTGTCAAGTCCTCTTCAGAACTCAATAACATCCGACGATGACCGGGTAATAAGCGGACCGAACCATCGTGTACATACGAACACGCCAGACGAGGATAATACACTAAACAATTACTCCATCTGTTAATGCATCTCGGCCAGTTGTCACCCATCGACCATGAGTATATAAAAGCTAAGCGCACCATGGGGTAACGCGACCACATCCGCTCACTGGGCTCCAAATCCAAAAGCCTGGCACCGCAGGAGATAGTATTGCCTACAAACCCATTCAGCCAGTCTACCCGGTCTGAACCCGGCACCGCAGGAGATAGTACTGCTTACAAACCCATTCAGCCAGTTTACCCGGCCTGAACCCGGCACCGCAGGAGATAGTATTGCTTACAAACCCATTCAGCCAGTCTGCCCAGCCTGAGCCCGGCACCGCAGGAGATAGTATTGCTTACAAACCCATTCAGCCAGTCTACCCGGTCTAAACCCGGCACCGCAGGAGATAGTACTGCTTACAAAACCCATTCAGCCAGTCTGCCCAGCCTGAACCCGGAAATACAGGAGATTAGTATTGCCTGCAAGCCCCATTCACCAGTCTCCCCGGCCTCCGAGGCCAGGAGGCCGGCAGAGGCATGGTGGGCGGCGCCTCCGGAGTGGCGTCCGCTGGCCGGAGCGTCCGCGTCCGGTGACAACCCCGCCACTGCGCCCACTGCCACTGCGTGACCCAGCGTCGCCGCCGGGCCTGGGTCGGTGACGTCCACGCCCCGTGCGTCCGCCGCGCTCCGCGCGCTTATAGGACGCGTCCGGGCCCGGCGCTCGCCAGTCCGCCGCCGCCGCCGTCGCCAGCCCCGCAGTCCGTCGCCGCCGCCACCGCCGCGCCATGCTATCCGCCACGGTCCTGGCCGCCGCCCTGGGCGCTGCCGCCGCCTCCGAACTCGACACCACCTCGATGGAGGACGTGCTCGACCCGCGCCTCTTCATCATCTACAACTCGACCAACTCGAACGCGCTCAACTACGTGCTGGCGGGAGTAGCGGTGGCGCTGCTATTCGGTCTGCTGCTGGCGCTGGCGCTGTTCGCCTTCGGCTTCTTCGGGTCGTCGGCCAACAACCGCTACGACTACTACGAGCCCGACACGTACGCGACCTACAGCAACCAGGGCTTCCAGTCGCGCTCGCTCGGACCCGGTGAGTCGGCCGGCGGTGGGAGACGCCGCTCCGCTGGCGCGGCCGAGGTGGGCACTCGCCACTGGCAGCCACCCGCCGTCTCCCGAAGACCTGGCCACCGCACCCTCTGGCGACGGCGGATGCCGACGCATGTGCTGATCTGCGTTGCGCGCCGGTGGAGATGGGATTAAGATTGAGAACGTCCTTTAACTTTATGCTATTGGTGCAGCCGGGCGGTCTTCTAACGCATCATTCGAGTGAGAGCCTTTGGGCCGGCACCATACATCACATGGATACCGATTGAAAACTAGCGGATTGAGGGCCTCCCAGGGCGTGCTCGGCTGGTGACTTTTCAGTCATGCCGCAGTTCAAGTCCATTGTGCCACGACGTATCATCAAATGAAAATTTAAGACTACACTCAGTGAACAATGAACATTTCACTCAAAAGCTTGCATGTTAAGATTTGAGGGTTAAATTTCCGGCAGTTCTTCGCTCAATGATAAATGTTCGGGACTTAGAAGACACGGTATTATTCCCATGCGTGGTATGTGGACAATGCATTTCATAATGAATATTTTACCATCAAACTATATGTCATCTAATCCTACCAGTGCATATTCAAACCCTTTTACAGGCATAAAACACGTCCTTGATGTGTTGTATCATACATTGCATGATATGTCATTGGGTGCTTTTTACAAGCCCATAAAACTGGGAACACCAATATGCCGTGAAAAGTCGGCAAGTATTTGAAGTCTGTCTGCTCTTGTTGACATTGTCGACGCTTCCAACGTTTTGACAATCGTTTTCAAGCGCGTGTAGTTCTGTGACTTACGGAAGTAAAACGAAAACATTTTACTTCAGATGCTTTACAGAATAACATGGGGCCCCCGACCAGTCACACGCTACCAGACCAACCTTGATTCCACCCGTGAGTCAAACAGGTCACATTTCGTAAGCTTTCGTTCACAGGGAAATGGTGACTTTTGCGCTGAGCTGTTAGTGTCAAGTTTATGCCAACTTTGGAAAACTCCTTAAAGGTTCTGAATTTCCCTTACGTTTGTGACTTCTAATTAATCCATCCATGACTGCGAAAACTCGATCAAGGTCTTTGGTGACTGAAACAAATCTGTCATAACCTCTGCCACCACGCATCGGTTTGATTCTTTTGAAAATTGCTTCCAAAATCCACCATGCTCTCTGGACGTTCCAGAAGAGTTTTCAAGGGCTGTTTGTGAGCTTGACGAGAAGCTCGAATACTCTAACCGGGTTTTGATGACTCCTTAGAATTGAAAAAAGAAAGAAACTGCGGAAACGTCTAAGATTTTGATAGTAACTGAATGGTAGGCTAGAGTTTCAGGAGTCACAGATGGGTTAACCAGTGTTCCACAAGTGCCGTGCAGTTTTCATAATTTTCTTTAATTATTTAAAACCGAAATTTATTACATAGCTGAACTTATATCGATATAGATTCAGCTTGCCATATACTTTCCAAGCATGCCGTTCGCCTCCATGATGCTGGTAAATTATGTGCACACCTTTTCAGCGTCGCATGACCTCGACCTTAGAAAAATGTTTAAGCAGCTGCTTCACGCACAACAAGTTGAACGCAAACACAACGTTTCAAGGTCTTATAAATATTTCCGTAAGCCGGAAGTCAAGATAGAACTGACCAGGTTTCGTAAAATGTATATAAAAAACCTTCGGAGTCATGTCCCAAGTAAAGAGGTTTGGCATAATAATGTTACGACGATGGGAAGCTGATTACTGTCTTAACGTTGTCGTCTGATATCGATAGAATTAAAGACAAAAGGTTTATCTCTGGTAGAAATTTTTCAAAAACTTCCTGACGTTACAAATGCCTGTAAGGTCTTAATTTCTTTTTTATTTCCTCATATCAGCAAGGAAGGCCTTCTACTCCTCGCTTTTCGGCATTATGAGTTCTTAGTCCTTATACTGAGTTATAGGTCTTTAATATGCCAGGAGGGTACTGTTGAAGGGACGTTAGATAGCAACAATTGTTTATGCTGACCATACTCAACGTTTCAATCCGTGAATTAGATCACTCGTCATCATAAGCAGAGCCTGAAATGTTCAGTTACTGCCAATGCAGCCAAGTTTTGGGTCCATAACATCATTTGGTTCTGCTGTATTGGAGGTTGATTACTCAGCAAAAGAACGTTTTCTTTCTTAACGAGACAGCAAATTTTCGGCAATTGTGGAGGTTGAGGTTGAGGTTGTGAGATTATCAGCTTTGTTTGTTGTCTTAGAAAAGCAGCTGAGAAGGTGTGGGCTAGAATGTACCCAACATCTTTAGTCATACTGAATCTAATTCCAACCGCGTTTACAACATGCCATGCTCATCCAAGCGAAATGCTTTGTGTTGGGACGATCTTTTTAGATTGATCTTCGGCATTACGGTCGCAGAACTACATCTGCAAGCCAGCTGGTGCACGGAGTAGTCAGAATAGACATCGTTGGAATTTTGTCTTCGACGCATAACCGTGGCCTTAGTCGTAGCGCCAGTCGAACTCCAGAGACCAATGTGTCATGGTGTCCACTCCAGCACTCACCTGCTTGCCTCGCGCGCGAGTGAAAATTTGGTTTACGCCTATCGAGACCTAATCACCTAAACGAAAGAAAGAACTGAAGCAAGCCAGAGCCTGTTTTTATCACAGATGTCTCACTTACAATTAACAATCCTCCATTCACCTCACGCTTCTGTGATCACTGTATGGCCCGAACGGCTACGCTAAGTGAGGTTGGGCACACTTTTCTCACGCTGGAGAGGTGAGACTCTGGGATCGTCAACCTTTTTTTTCACTCCGCTGTGAAATACACCGCACTTCAGACCGTCTGATTATTCAGGCCAAAGAAAAGAACAGCTGCCATCGACAAAATACGAAGCGCTCCTCGTTTTTAGGTAAAAGGAAAACTTAAATGTTTTAAGGGCATTGATTAAAGTCGATATACCTTATATGGTGCATGCCATTTTTGAGATCAAAGCACGGAATAACTGAATACTTGTATATGCAAATCACACACACACACACACACACACACACACACACACACACACACACACACACACACACACACACACACACACACACACACACACACACACACACACCACACACACACACACACACACACACACACACACACCACACACACACACACACACACACACCTATATATATATATATATATATATATATATATATATATATATATATATATATATACATATATATATATGCAAACAAGTACAGACCGACGCATTCCGGGTAATTCACTATTCCCTCACCTTCGTCGACGTGAAAATGGGTGTTACGATGAACTGTCATCAAAGAAGGCTAAAAGCACCTGGAGGCAATGGCTGCAGACCTCAATCTTCATCTTCACCACAACTGTGAAATAAGAAAACATCTCAAAAAGCTGGCCAACGTACTCATCATTAACCCAAAAATAGGACGCAGTCTACGTTCGTCTTCGTAGGCGTGCGTCACCGTGTACAACGCACCTTTGACCGCATTCTACTCGATGCTAAGGCCAGGTCATCCACGCCCGATGCACTCCTGTACCGTTCCAGTGAAGCGCCCCGAGCCGTCGGTCGGCCGGTGCCGCGCCCGGGGCGTTACTCGTACCGGTCCGCGTCACGCGCCGTCGCAGCCCGCCAGCTCATGCCGACAGTCACGCTTCATATCATGCCAGCCCCTGTTCCGTATGCGTCGAAGAGTTTCGGCCAGCAGCTGCATCATGTTTGGGCATACTTTTCAGGTTAATGGTAGCTGTCCGAGCATTGAGCTCCGACAAAAGACTGATAATGTAGTGGAAGTGGCTACATGCACACAACGCTACTAAACTAACCTTGGTCTTCTGACGCTGAATAAGTGTTTAGAAGACACACTTTCTTAAAATGATTAGATTAATATACATACATACATACATACATATATATATATATATATATATATATATATATATATATATATATATATATATATGTGTGTGTGTGTGTGTTGTGTAAATGGCTATTATTTAAACAAGATGTCACAGCTGAAGTCCTATGGGCGCCACATAAACAACGCAGTCGGCGCGCCCCAAAAACCAAATCATTATCTCGATCATTGCCCATCGATATCCTTTGTCCGTACCTTCGGGCGCTGAATTATGAAGTCCGTTTCGTTAGGTAAGCTGCATCAGTTTTTCCGGAAAGGATATTTGCCTCCGTCCGCTGGGGAAGCGGATGCGACCATCACCATGGTGGAATTTTTGTAAGGTTCCATAATAACTCGTTTGTTTCCGACGACATTCTTCCTGGGAAAGCTTTGTTCCTGCCCCCCACGTGTCATTGTGTGGCTGAACATCAAGCTACTAAACATGCCAAGCTTGTCAACGGCATGGTGCATGGCGATCAGGCAATAAATAGGTTTTGAGGTGCATTCTATAGAATGATGCTGTTCCCGAATGCAAAGCTCACAGGCACTGCAAAATCGTTAGTTATGTTTGCGGCGGAATGTTTAGTAGAGGGTGTTCCTCACTGGTCCATGAGCTCCAAGACATGGAAATGCTCAGCACCAACAACGTCAGAGCGCTGGATTCAGTAACTCCATGGTAACTTCAAACGGGGAAAAATGGAAAACAGCTCCACTGACCAGCATGGTGCATACATGGCACTCATAGGCTGTGCTTAAATTCCGTGTTCCTTCGCACTGGTGGTGCTATGTTTCGGTCCTGGAATCTGAGCTGTTATCGGAAGGCAAATGGTGTTGAGCTCTAATCCGGGGCATTCGGTGGATGATTTTGTGGGAATCCGATCCAGTCATTTTACAATGCTCTGGGCCCTGAGTCTGAGACGGATGATTTAAAGGTCGTCTTTCGATGGCTCTCAGGGCGCTTAACATAAAAGCTGGCTTGCTTTTCCTTTTGAACGTTTCTATTCAGGCTCTGGCTTCATCACACAGCTTGACGCCTGAACAGGAATAAGTGGGGCATGCTCACTAATGTGCGCAGAAGGGCACTGGTTTATTTCGGCCTCGAAGACATACCCTGATTCTTTGTGCTATTAATCACGCAGAGACAACAATTCAGGCATGTTTTCTTCCTCTGGCTCATAATGGATCAGATGTTGAGGTGGGCTGGCTTTCGTTGTTTAGATATTTTGCATATCTGCATTACATTCGGCCTGCGATGATATACCTTCGTTGCGGCTACTCATATTGCGTTCAATGCGGATGAACGTCAGTAATGAGGGGATGCGTTATTTCGCGGGTCGTTCAATGACTTCAGTTCGAGCTTTCGTTGAGATACATTTAAAATGTGATACTCAAGGGTAGCCGAGCTTTCAGGCAGCACCAAGGTCAGGCCGCCGTGTATCCTTCCTCAGACAAATAACGTTATCGTTCGGCAACTGCTGCCTGAACACTATCCCCCTCTTCGTTACCAAGCAATTAGTGCAGAACTGATTGTGCGGTGGTCACCATCCCTTTAGAGTAACAGCATATTACATGGTGACTATCGTGGCATATTGGTGATGCTGCGTGGTCCAATCCAGAGAAGGTTTGAATTCTCTTCTCCAGATCTCCACTCTGATCCAGACTGATGCACACTTGAATACACCCCAACGCTAATGCAACATCCCTGCATCTTAGTGGTTTGTGCGGGCCATAACAGCGTATGACCAGTTCTCGGGTACTTCTAACAAAGGCTCATGGTGTGACAAAATGCATCAACCTTCGCCGTCCGAAAGCTGATACGTCAGTTTACCAATACACTGAGTTGACTCCCGGCTGCCGGCAGCGCGGCGGTCAAACGTGCGCGTCTGGAGAGCTAGAGATACGAGCTTTGATTTTCCGCGTGCTCTCCCTTCAGGATGAGAGCAGACGACGCCATATTGGCTCAACCGCTGAGTGCGCCAAAGAGACCCAATGACGGCAATGAGTCTATTCTGACTCTGACCAAAAAACAGCTGTTCGGGTTTCAGGGGCGGCCACAGGGTAGATGCACTGTTTCAGTACGTACAAGCTACGTGTCATGGCCGCGTTCGTATTTAACCAGCTGTTCTTTTAGGTGCTGTTCGCACTAACCACTTTCCCTAATCGCGCTGACCGCCCTTTCTACGGCGTTGAAGGGTAAAAGACACTCTATAGCCTCAGCTGTTGAGTGCGTGGAGTCGACTCTGACTGTGGCTAAAAGGAATCTTGCCTAAGTTGAGAGGCGGCCACTGACACGATGGCTACAACACTGCTTCTGTTCTCCGTGGCTTACACACATACACACACAAGAGTACAGACAACACACACACACACACACACCACACACACACACACACATATATATATATATATATATATATATATATATATATATATATGTATGAGTGTCGTAGACCACAGCCTGACTCCGGGTACTCTGGTTGATTCAACGCTGCACCGGACAAATCGCGGCTGACTCCATAGCCAAGTCTAAGTCAGGGTCAGATTCAAGCAAAGCCTGACATCTTCACATTTGGTGGCGATAATTACACACACACGTAATGCGAGACGGTGCGGTTTTCTTTTCCCGTTTGGACTAGACCCTTTCTATTCGGTGCGTGGGAGCATGATGCGCCTGAGATCTCTCTGTGAAGGGAGATAAAATATGACGCGATGACAGCCGGCTTCCTGCTGTCACTCGGCCGGGCCGTCACGGGAGGCCAGCCCGCGCCACCGCGCGCCAGTGCACGGGTAATGACTGCTCTGGACCCAGCAGAACCGCTTGCTCTCCTCTCGGCGAGCTCTGCTCGAAAATTAGAGCGAGTCAGACTGCAGCATCGGCGACCGCTAGCCGGAAATAAGTGGTTTCCACGGCGTATCCTGTCCGTTTTTATATTTATCCATGCCCGTCGTGCCCAGCTTCCTCCCCGGCCGCGTGACCAGCTCTGTGCTACGGGTTGTACGGGCCGTTGCTGTTTTCCAGAGCCGAGTAATGCTCAACGGCCGTCGCTCTGATGCTGGTGCGATTGTGTCGGCTGGCCGGGGCGGAGCCAGGCGCCAGCGCCGGCTTCGTACCGAACCGCTTTCGGCGCCGCCAACCGCCACCGACATCAACCGCCATTTACACGGGTGAACCGTCCAGCTACGTGTCACTACAAGACCATCCAGCGGGCTCACCGTCTATCCTGCCTACAACCGTGACGGCAGGTCAAGTCGAAGCAACGACAGGCAAGGAGTGCTGCTAGCCACGGAGAGTCCCCGCCGACTTCGCCTACTCAGAGAACAAGGCAGCATACAGCTTCCTCCCGAGTACCCGCAGGAGGACTTTGCTGCCTACATCGCCGGAGGAGCTGCAGCCGACTGCAGACCAAGTGTTATCAGTTCCACTACCACTACGGCCCGCTGTACGACGGCAGCCCAGGCGGTGAACAGCGCAGCCTCGGGCCCTGCGCCCGCACCGTCCCAGCAGACAGCCCAAACACGGCGCGCAAGTTTCTACACCTCGACCAACCGGCTGACGCCACGCCCTGCACGGATCCGTCAACGGGTCGCGCGCTTCATGCGCTCGTTCGGTGGCAAGGTGCTGCTGATCGTGGTCGGTACGGGGCGCGGCGCTGCTGGTCGTCTCGCTCCTGCAGATCTTCTTCACGGTTGGCGTCCGGCGGCCAGGGTCTGTTTCGGCCGCGCCCGCCGCCGACGCCATCGCCAGAGTTTCGGCGTGGGCGGCAGCGCGAAGCCGCAGTCAACGCTCCGCGCAAGGTGCGCCCCGCCGCTTCGCCGAGAGGTTTTAACTGCAACCCACCAAGGACAAAACGTAGCAGGTGGAGGCCGGACATTACAGTTTCACACCGGCTTTCATCGCGCTGCGCTTTCTCTTTGGTCCACAACGTAATTTTCCACTAACATCTGCATGCCATTTTTTATCGCCCAGCCCTGCCAGCACGGACGGCGCGGTTCCCGCCATCCACTCGCCGTCGAACACCGCAGTGTAAGCTTTTCACCACCGGTGTCAATGCCAACATACACTCCTCGGCATAAAGGCGCTCTCAAGCGCGACGCGGCTGGCGCCTTCAAACGTTACGGCGATCGCGTCCGACCAAAGCTGACGGCGGCGCGCCTCCGCGCCGGTCCAAAGTCCAGTTGGCGGACCGTTATGCCGACCCGGTCTTGGTGGGGGCGGGCGCGCTCCTAGCGCCGCCCGTCCCACTTATGCTGGCCGAAAGAGGACGAGGGTGTTGACACACTTTTGTGTTGAGTTCCCTCGCGCCATAGTAGGACTAGGCACCCTTGCACTGGCCTGAAGCGTGAGGGGCTCCGGGCCCAATTAAAAGCCAATCGTTTGATAACTGGGGCATTGTTGGAGGTTATTAACCAGTCCAGCAAAGCTAAAACCAGGCGGAATAATTTCCGAAAAATTTGGTCAGCCCGTTGTCTTAAACGGATACTTGGAGGGGAGCCGCCGTGAATGGTGATCTAAAAGCCAAGTTCCTGCCCGCTGGACAGCGCGCTCGCTGTGGTATGTTGACATAAAGGTGCAGCGCGCTCAACAAACACGTGGCTTCGGGAAAAAGCATTTAAAACGCGCCGTGAAACGTCGATTGTGTGCCCCCACGGTTGACAGGCCAGAAGGTCCGTGTTCCGCCCTACGGTGCTGTTCAAGTGAGCGTAAGTCGATCACGCCCGCTAGTTCCACCAAGCCCGCCGCTCCGCTCGACTTTCTCCCGACCAACAGTATACAGCGGGGTGGTGCGGCATGATCAGGCACTTTGCTCCAAAGCTCTCAGTGGCCGCTAAAATACCACAAAGGCCCCTGTTTGGTAGGTGGGTCAGGAAAGTGGAGCAGTGTGAAACGGCCCGGAGAGACGCGCACGGGCTTCGGGAGCACGACTGAAGCCATGGGCTCACATTCGCGAAGCGAGAACGTGGTTCACGTCCAGGCGTCGTGCGTACGCATTCGTTAAAACACACGTGGCGTTATTTTGTTTGTTTCTTTTTCGTTCTTGCTGCAGTGGTGCACTCTTCTAAGGTTCTTGACACATACGGCACTGAACACTAAGTGTCGGGTGTGTTCTTGTCTTTTTAGCTTCGATGTCAATAGTCTAATCTTGACAGTCATGCGCACAGACGCGGATATTTCACGTTGCGCGTCGACCACGCCTGACATGCTCTTCCCCCCGCCACACACGGAGTGCTCTGACCGCGCCTCCTCTCCGCAGCATACGACGCCATCAACGTGCTGTAATCATGCTGGAGGAGGCAGATTATTCCGCAAGATGGAGGTGCACGACTACGACTGCCAGCAAGCGGCTGATGTGTGAGGCGCCACGAGGCCGGCGCCGTCGACAAGTACGGCCAGGTGGCCGCCCGGCTGCAGAAGATCATCGGGTAAGACGCCCGTCACTCCTGCCAGCGCCCCCCCCCCCCCCCCCACCCCCACCCCCTCCCCCTCCCCCACCTCCCCGGAGAAGATCATCTGCAGGTCACGGACGACATTGGAGTTCGGGAGGCTCCAGAGTGGTGTCCATGCCAGAATGGTGAGCCATGAGCTCTGCGCGTAAGGTTCATCAGCTCAGTCAGCATAACCATCTCAATGATGGGAAGAGACAGCAGCGCTATTTAAACCTTTTCAAACCGATTCCTTACCGTGCAGTGTCACACAGCTAGCGTTAAAATTTCGGTGAACCGTCTCCCTGCCCTTGCTCCTCTCTCGTCTCCCGCGGCACTTCAAAGCTGTTGTTGGGACGCGAGACGTTGCCTGTAGCGCCGCTTTCTGGACCGAGCGGCGTCATCGGAGGCGGCTCCGGTCGGCTCCCAGGACCAGCCTGCCGGCTGGTGCCGCCGCGGTGTCTGCCGTTTTCCTCCAGAGCCGCACAATGGGACTCGAGGCGTCACCTGGGCGGCGTGCCCCGCCGCTGGAGACGGGCCGCAGGCGCCAGACGCCGCGGCGGGCGCGGCCGGCGGAGGCCCAGCGGCGGCGGCGGCGGGCCGCGAGACGGCGGAGGCCCCCGCCGCTGGAGACAGCCGTAGGGCGCCAGACGCCGCGGCGGGCGCGGCCGGCGGAGGCCCAGCGGCGGTGGCGGCGGGCCACGAGACGGCGTCGGCCCCCGCCGCTCGTGGTCTTATCCCATAAACTCAGCACATTCCGTTTTTATTAGACACAGTGGCTCAATTTCACATTACAGATAGATGTAAGACACAATAAATTGTCTTTGCATCCCCATTTCTTGTTACCAATGCAACACTGATTGCTGCAAAAAAAAAAACTCCTTAGGAAAACGTTCCAAAGTGTCAAAAACTACATCATACTAGCCTATCTTTACCACGATTTCGAATAACAGGAAACCATTATTCTCATCCCGATCATAGTGAGGTGTAGATACTGTGGAGGGTCTTGGAATGTCGTGAGACCATATCTCTCGAGTACAGACGCATGTGAGCCACTTAACACGAAAGTCATTCGAGTGAAATTGGAAGCCAAATTCAATAGCCCGGCTGGTGTACATTTTGAGAGAAAACTACAGAAGACGAATTTCAATTAGTCCCAGCCTGCCAGAGACTTTCCACACGCGTCGCACCAGCCGACTCTCAGCAAGCAGAGGCCACTCTCTGCAGGGTGGCGCCGCTGGTCTCGGCTCCGCCAGCACACCCATCAGAGCGAAAGCAGCGCTGCGGCGCACAGCAATCAAATCACGCTGGAACGCGCGGCCTGGCTCCTCACAGCTTGGGCAGCGCACGGGGCGCCCTCGCGACAATGCGGCGCACGTCGACCGCCTGGCACGCTCCCAGGCGAGCAGCGGCAGGGATTAGAAACAGCTGTGTGGCGTGGGAGCTGCTGGCCGGCGAAAGCGTTCCGTTCCGCTTCCGTCCCGGAGATTGTCCGGTCCGTCTTGTCTGCTGTCCGGTCCGGCTGGTCTGCTGTCCCGCCCGGTTCGGTCCGTCTTGTCTGCTGTCCAGCCCGGTCCGATCCGTCTTGTCTGCTGTCCGGCCCGGTGCAGTCCGTCTTGTCTGCTGTCCGGTCCGGTCCGGTCCGGTCCGGTCCGTCTTGTCTGCTGTCCGGTCCGGTGCAATCCGTCTTGTCTGCTGTCCGGCCTGGCAGGCTCCGCTACGGTGTACCCTGCGTTGGCTTGTCTGTTTTGAGTCTTGCTCCCACGCACTGTCTGAGAAGCTAACGGTGCAGCCTGGAGGGTCGTTCGAGTGTGACCTGTTTATCTCGAGTACAAAATACCCGAAACCTTGTTTTTGATCATCTTAAGCGTTTTTTGGATGCTGTCAGAGCCACGAACACGCACACGCGCATACGCAAACAAATCGCATCAGTTAGATACTCTTAGTAAGATATTAGATAGTTGAAAGCGCATCAGTAACGTAACGACCTTAACTTACACATCAAACAAGTGGGCGTCCACCGTGCGTGACCTTTGCCGTCACGCCGGGTCAACGGCAGCGTTGATTAGGAAGGCGATGGGCACAGCCGCTCGCAAGAACGCCTTCGGCGTGCCGAGTGGCCAGTCATAGAGCTGTTCTGAAGCATCATAGATCATCCCACTCTGCGCCGAAATGGCTGTCTTCCGCCCATCAGCAAGAAATCGCGCCTTGACGTGACTAAATTGAGACAGCTGTTATGGCTCGACAATGGAGATAACGGTGACGAACGCAAGCATTTGTGAGATGCTACAGTCGGAACAGCCGGCGGCGCAATTCCGTTTGGAGGGTGCTCATGGCAGAAGAGTTTTAGGCTGTGCCTGTGGTCTAGACCAAACGCTGTTGGCGGAACCTCCCCACCAAAGACCACTGTGCGATCTTCGCACAGCGTGTGTTTAAAGTAGGGTCAATATTTGTTCTTGCCTTACGCGCTAACGATAGGAACCCATCAAGCATGCAAGCACGTCATCTTGTCGTGGTGAAGGAGGCAAGATACCCCTGTGTGTAACCCTATAAAAGTGTGCATACGTGGGTGTCGTGGATATTTTCTCAAGCCTGCAAGCCTTCTCTGCTGTGAGGGCGGCTTTACAATGTCACCGGGCGTTTCGTGGGGGGCGCCGCAGTCTAACGCTGACCTCCTCTACTGCAGGTCGGCTGACCAGGCCTCGCTGGAGGGCGCCGAGCGCGAGGTCGCCGACGCCTTTGCGGCGTTCCGGGACGCGGCCGTCCGCGGCGTGCAGCAGCGGGACTGCCAGCAGACCTACGCCGCCAAGTGCGCCAAAGGCTGCGCGACTTCGTGTCGGGCCGGCACCAAGTACTAGACGTCGAGTTGGGCGCTCCGGCTCGGCCCGCTGCAGCTGTAACACGATAGGCGCGCGCGCGCGCGGTCGGAGACACCGCCCGGGGCAGCCGACGTCTGGGCTGCACGCCGAAGCCGAGACGCGCCGCCAGAGGCCAATTGTTGGGATCCGTTGGGGAGGTGAAAGAGAGCTCAGCTCGCGGACCGGGTCAGCAGGGTGCGGCGCCGTCAGTCGCGCGTTGTCGGCGCCGACCTGGTTTGTTAAGTAGTTTTGCTATCTGTTGCTGATGAGAGTTATATTTATATATTTATTTGAGCTGCATTCTGTTGTAAATGCTGCGTGCTGTTACGGCTAAATATACTCAGATGGATTTTCGAGGCACTGGTTTGTTTCATTTTGTAGTAACTCTGACCGCCCTTCTCAAGCTATACGTCTGCCTCTAGCCTGTCATGTACCAATAATTTTGAGTGCGCGACATTTGGCCTTTCAGCCCTGCACCAGTACAAATAAATGCATTCACTTTTTGCGTCGGGACATCGCCCTGATGTATGCAGCAAGTTCCTCCTTCGAAACGTATTTCTCATTGGTCGTTCTCTGTCTCCCAATATAGATGGACCTTGCCGGGCCCTGTTTGTGTGGGAAACGAATTTTACGGCGGTAGAATTGATTCGTCGTGCTGGCGCTTTCACCGGACAATTACTGGGCCCATCTGCACGATTTTGAGCGCCAGCTGACTACGGCGGACACTGGACGATTCCCAGTCGTACTCACAGGCGGAACAGATGCGAGTCGGCGTGAGGACTTCCCAATGGCATCACCACACCTGCTGTAGATATCACCACCATAGGAGCTATCGCCACTCTAATCAACAGGAGTACAGCCTACTGAGCTGAGCCATCGGTTCTCCAGGAATAAGTCATGCACACGTCCATTCACCACTCTCGAGGCTGCATTTTTGGTGTGCTGTCGCACACCCTATCTATGTGAAATCCATTTTGATGGGCATGCTCTGCTTCAGGACGGGTTTGTTAATTCATTCTTGCCTCAGAGAGAAAGAGAGAGAGAGAGAGGGAGAGAGAGAGAGAGAGAGAGAGAGAGAGAGAGAGAGAGAGAGGAGAGAGAGGAGAAGGAGAGGAGGAGAAGAGAGAGAGAGAGAGGAGAGAGAGAGAGAGAGAGAGAGAGAGAGAGAGAGAGAGAGGAGAGAGAGAGGGAGAGAGAGAGATAGTATTATATTATATTATATCTATATATATATATATATATATATATATATATATATATATATATCAGAAAGCTCCATATTGCATTCAGTCACGTGTATTGCCACATGATGCATTGATTGGGTCATAGAATATCTGAGGGAAGTGCACAGCAATAAGGATGATCTTAATCAGAGCAAGCTTATTCAGTCGGTCTCATTCTGTCCATTCACCGAGTCTTTTATCTTGTAGCCATTCTTTGAGTCACACAATTTGTGCATGAAGTTACGAAGAAGCAAGAAAGAAGCGCAGGCGCCAGCCCTTCCATGAAGTCCAAGCATTCCAAACACACATTCGTTTTTCGAAGCATGCTCTGCCTTTTTGCGTAGTTGATAAAGTTAGATTCTTGGACTTGTCATCAATTTTTAATCGTGCTTCCAAAGGAGTATTATTTGCATTGTTAGCCACTCCACATTATTTTTACAGAAAAGCGTTCAAACGGTGAGGTGAGATCGGTGCAAATTCGATCGCGAAATGACAAGTCGAAGTAGGATAGCACACTTTTTAGTTGTCAGTTTTGTGCCAGTTCAGTATAATAGTGGGTTTTTCCAACAGTATTGACAGAATAGCTAAGACGGGTCGTGACAGTTGGTTGTGGCTGGTTGTCAAGCTACGCATTGATGCGGTGGAACCTACTTTCATGTCAACGAGGCGGCCAGCTTCAGCCATCTTTGGTGGATCACCGTACAGAAAATGATTTATTGTGACAGATTCTGAGTCAGAATGACAAAACCAGGCTGGGGCCGCCAGGCCTGAGGAGT